ACAGATACTGTACATGGGTAGGGTGAGGTCTAGGGATCGAACCCTGGGTACTGCATCCGGTACTGCTAAAAGGTGAAAACCGTTTCACTCCCGCCGTCCTAAATTCGGGGTCCTCCGAGAAAATTTTAGTCCAAGGCGGGACCTTTACCTTTCTTGTCACGCTCATAGGCTCTGACTATGTCGGGAGCAGTCTCCAGAAGTTCTGCTTTCGTGAACCAGCGGTCATCTTCCGGTTCCTGATAGGCAAACCGGACTTTATACTGTTTCTGGGGACGACCTCTACCTCCTGTCCTAAACACATCCTCTTCTACGATGCCCTCTATGTTATAGCTCCCATCCATATCCAGTGGGATCATGGATCTCCTGGAAGGGAACTGTTGACTAGTGACACACGGCAGCAGCTTTGAAGCATGGAACACAGGGTATGTGTGGAGGTGTGCTGGAATCTCAATGCTGTATAACGGTCCATCCTCTCCGCCCTTGACTTCTAGAACCGGCCACGGTCCTCTATATGCAGGCAGTAATTTCTGCGAGATGTTTTCTTCCGGTGCAAACTCTTTTGCCTTGACCCAGACTAAGTCACCTACTTGAAACTGTGATGGGCGATGGTGCTTGTTAGCCTGCTCTATCATTCTGTGCTGGGCCTTCCGAAGGTTCTCAACAACAGTGGCTAATTCCTTTTCGTGCTGTATCGCAAACTTCCTGGTACCGGGTGGTAATCTGTGAATCTGATCCCGGTTCAGTCCTTCGAATGGTCTGCGCGGTCTGAAGGACTTGTGCAACTCATTGGGGGTGCGGCAAGTGGATAGATGCACGTTGTTGTTGTATGCACTAGCTACCTTAGGCAACATCTCATCCCAGTTAATCTGATCTGGTCTAATGTACACGTGCAGAACTTGCTGTAGGATCTTGTTCATCTGTTCTGTCTGACCGTTAGTCTTTGGGTGACGGCCGGACGACATTAATAACTTAGATCCGTAGACTCTCATTAGTTCTTGCCAGTTCTGGCTGGTGAAACGACTGTCCCTATCACTAACTATTGACAATGGAATTCCATTCTCACTAACCCAAAAGTCAAAGAACTTCTGTATTACTAAATCTGTACGTGCCTCTGCAGGCAAGGGAACAAAAACTGCATACTTACTAAAACGGTCGACTATGACCATGACTTGGCTCTTACCATGTCTGCTCTGGACTTGCGTGTCCATGAAGTCTATGAATACCGAGTCTCCCGGTTGATCCGGAATAGGCAAGGGTCTCAGAAGACCTAGGGGCGCGCGTGTAGTAGATTTATTCCTCTAGCACACTTTACAACCGCGGACATACTCTATGCAGTCGTTCTTTATCCCTGGCCATGTGTACGCACGCATCAAATTGACTAACGTATTTTGCCAACCGAAGTGTCCCTCAGCATCGCGACATTCCCCTAGAATCAGACTACGAATCTCTTCGCTGTTGGGAACGCACAGGCGGTCAAACACATTAGTCTTCTCAAACAGCAACCCGTCTGTAGTGCGGTAATCTGGTTCGGTCTCTGGGGTCTCTCTAACTCTCTTTAGGAGGTCGCTATAGATAGGGTCCTGCGTATACGCTTGTTTCACTTTCTCCTGCAGGTCTCTCCCTATATTCAGATAATGTACTATGGCTCCAAAGTAGTCTAATATCCTACTTAGAGCATCCGCCACTACATTGTACTTGCCCTTCACAGGCTTAAGCTCAAAGTCGAATTGGTCTATCTCTGCGGCCCACTTAGTCAACTTAGGTGTCATCTTGGCCTGGGTCTTTAGCCAACGAAGTGTCTCATGGTCAGAATACACTTTGAAGTGCCTCCCAAGCAGATAGTGCTTCCAATGGTCTAAAGCCTGCCTGAGAGCATAGAGTCCTCTCTCGTATGTTGAGGTAGCGACCTTCTCACAGGGCATCCTCGCGGACATGAACTCTACGGGTCTATAGCCATTGTCGTCGTCTTGTTGCAACACGGCGCCTATCCCATACTGACTCGCGTCCGTGGTGACGACAAATGGCAAAGACGGATCTGCAACTTTGAGGACAGGATATTCTATTAACGCGCGCTTTAGCTTCTTGAGCGCAGACGTACGGTCTTTGTCCCATTGCTAGATTGCCTCTTTCTTCAGCAACCTGCGCAAGGGAGCGGCGATAAGAGAGAAGTTCCTTACGAACTTCCTATAGTAGTTAGCTAAGCCTAGGAACGACCGCAACTCTGTCAATGTGCGGGGCRTCGGYCAATCTCYGATYGCCGCGATCTTGTTGTCCTCTGGCTTAATGCCATCTCCGTCCAACACGTGGCCCAAGTATAAGACTTGCGTCTTGGCCCACTCGCACTTCTTCGYGTTGATCTTGAAGTTAGCCTCTCTAAGCTTCTCCAAGACCTGCCTCAGATGACCCTGGTGCTCCTGGAGGGTCTTACTAAAGACTAGGATATCATCTAAGTGGACTACTACAAATTTATCTAGCCATGGTCTAAACAGATCATTCATACAACGCTGAAAAGTAGCTGGCACGTTGGTTAGTCCAAAGGACATCACTATAAACTCATAATGCCCATATCTAGTCCGGAACGCAGTCTTGTACTGATCATCAGGATGAACCTCTATCTGATGGTATCCGGACTTTAAGTCTATCTTAGAGAAATACTTACAACCCTGCACCCGATCTAAAAGATCGTCTATCCTGGGCAGCGGCTCAACATTCTTCACGGTGATCGCATTTAATCCCCTATAGTCTATACACATTCTCAGCTCTGCTTCCTTCTTGGGGACAAACAAAACGGGTGCTCCAAAAGGAGACGAACTGGGCCTGATCCACCCTTTCTGAAGGAGTTCGTCTAACTGCTTGCGAAGCTCCTCTAACTCTCTAGGGGACATCCTATAGACTGCACCCTTAGGTGTTCTACTGCCAGGCTTTATCTCTATCCTATGCTGGATGGGTCGCGGCACTACTCCTGTCGGCGACTCGGTAAAATCTTTGAACTCCTCCAGCAGCTTGGCAATTGTTGGGTCTGTGGAGCTATCCTTCTTCTGACCCTCAGCGACAGGTCTAACATACACCACAAAGACCTGTTCCTCTAACTGCTCCTTTCTTACTAATCGCCCGAACGCGGGAGCACTAAGACAGCAATGCGCCAAGGTGGTATCTACACCGGAAGCATGGAACAGGCGAGCAGTCTTCACTTCGCCTGACGGACTAGGAAGCCTACACTCATGCTCTCTTAGATGGAGTGTGGCCCCCGCTGCCTCTCCCCAATCCATTCCTAACACTATATCGAAAGGAAGGTCATTTTGTACGAGGAGAGTCAGGGAATGGAGAACKTTCTCCACCTTCCCATCCTTCTCTAGGCGAAAGTACGCCTGGACTCCCTCTACATAGTCCTCAACGCGCATTGTGCGGTTGTCTGCGAGAACACTGACTATAGGGTCTATTAACTTCTGGACCTTTAGTCCTAGCCTCAGCTTCTTCAGCGCCCTACGGCTGATATAACTACGGGTAGCCCCTGAGTCTATAAGGGCCCCTACCCTACTCCTCAACGCTTCTACATCTACCAAAATCAGTTGTCCTTCACTCTCCTTCTTCATTTTGGCCCAGGCTGGCATCCTCTCCTTTAATTCTTCTGCCACACCTGTGAGGGACGTGCCTAAAGAGACGCTTACACAGGCGGTCTCTGGACAACTATCTAGGCATGGGCCTGCAACCTCTGCCATAGGCTCATGTGGGTTGGGAGTGTCCTATTCGCGCGCGCTCACTTCTCCACATGGCCTTAAAGTAGGGGCAGTTGCGACCCCTACTGGGGGCTGCCTTTTGACTGTTGGGCAGCCCAACGGGCCTGTCTATACTTGGGACAAAATTTGATTACGTGCCCCGGGTCACCACAAAATACGCACTGACCCTGGTCCACACATTCCTGCCATAATTGTCGGTTCAAGCCCAAGTCTTCCCAGGGCTTGCCCTGTGGCAAGCGTGGGTGCCAACCTGCTTGAGGTGCTCTTCCACCTCTTCGTTGTGGGGACCGATTACCCTGGCGATTTGACGGGGGACCTTGACCCCTACCTCCCGCTTGGCGGTTTCCCTGTCCGCCAAACCCCTGTGCGCCCGGTCCTCGGCCTCCCATGGCCTGGCCCCTTTGGCCCTGGCCTCCTCCTCCTCCTTGCGGCCTCCCTCCAACCGTGACAGCAGCGTAAGACCTCCCCTGCCCCACACTACTGCCATCATCTTCAAGGCCCCACTCAATCTGATCATACGGGACCTCATCAGTACCACCTTCCTCTAACGTCAGGATCATGTGATCCTTGGCCTTTACTTGGCCTGAGAYAGTACGATTBTTCCRCTTCTTCCCCTTCTCCAGGTCCTTATGCCAGAAAGTGGTAACTGGCATAGACTTTGACTCATACAGGACGACCTCCCTACTCAATTGATCATATGTGATGTCGGCGTGCTGAGACTTGTCAAAGAAATGCCCACGTAGGGCCTCTGGGATGGCACGATAAAACAACCGGACCAACTGGGGCTCGGTGACCCCGTGGTCCGGGACGGCTACCAAGTTGTCCATAGTACCCTTGAGTGCCTTGGCACTCCTCCACTGCCGAGAGTGAATCGTTTGAAGCTTATCAGAGGCTCTAATGCCTCGCGTTGGGTCAGCAAACCGCTCCTTGAGGAGCTTGAGGAATTGGGAGAGAGGAGAGACTTTGGAATACGCAACCAGGTTGTTTTCACAATCGGCTGTACGCGCAAGAGACCTGGCGAAGCTAGCCGCTTCATCTTTGAGGGCCTGGAAGGCCACAAAGACTTGTTCCTCGGCCAAGATATGCTGCAAGTAAATTATACTATTGACACTGGCTTCCCAGTTGTCAAAGTTTTCTTCCTTCTTTCCCCCGTACGCATCCGGAAACTTAAGCTTCACTGGGTCCTTATGGGGCCTGGCCTCTCCCTCTGCGGCGGCTACAGCTTTGGCACCCTGAATGGCGCCCTCACAAAACTTCCCGACATTGTCTCTCAACTGTTTGACTTCGCCCCCAATATGGGTGACGATCTCACGCGCAAAGTCTCTAAACCCCTACCGCATGGCACTCAAGGCTACATCTCGGCTCCAACTTGCCTGGCGCTCTTCCATCCAGGCCTTGCTCAACACCTCTAGATAGCCCAGTACCTTGTCCCACTTGGCCTTATCATCTGGCTGGGCCAGCACATCCGCTCTACACTCCTGCACCCTTGCCACAGCTGCGGTCATCGTATTCACTTCCTTTCTCCTCCTCTTCTTCTCCCTCTTCATTCTCAACTTCCATGCTAACTTTTGCTCGTTTTCCCTCTCTCTTCGTTCCATTGGGTCTGTCATGGCGGCTTAGCTCAGCGGCCAGCGCAGCCTTCTCATCCGTAGTCACATAGGACTCCGCCTCCTCGTCTTCCCCCAACGATAAATTAGCGACCCACTCGCTGATCTTCTTCTCCAGCTCAGTGTCTGTCTCCCACTTCATCGTGCCACCACTGCTCCCTTCTCCACCCTCAATTCTCATTCTCTCTTTCTCTTCTTCTGCTGCCTCTTCTGCTTCAGCAGCCTTCCTTCTTTCTTCCTCCTTTTGTTGTACCCTCTTCATCTCCTCCTCCAACCTCTTCATCTTTGCCGCCTGCTCATCTGCGATAACCTTTAGCTTCGCCTGCTTCTCGCGCTCTTTTCTCTCTTTGTTCTCTCTGACTAAGGCGGCCATCTTTTCTTGTTGCTCCTTGCTATAGGGGTTAGTCTCTAGCCCAGTATGGGTCTCAACCATGGTGATAGGTGCACAATCAGGATGATTCCACTCCTCACCACGTAGACTTTGATCCCTGACTGACAAACCTATTGACTCAATCTAATGACTCACAGAATCCTGACAGGGATCCTGCCAACTAGGATCTCTAGCCTAGACCTATACCATGGCTATCAATACTGAACCAGTGGCTGATCAGGAGGCATTTAAGGAGATCCCCCGTAACTCCTCAAGAATTCTTTAACGTCGCAGACAAGACGACGTGATCAGCTTGGTTCTGCCTGTGCTTTCAGCCCACAACTCAGCCTTTCCGGCCTACTGTGCCACACCGAGCAGCCCGCCGGTCTGTACCGGTCCTTGGGAGGGTTCGTATCCCCTGGGACAGTCGAGTCGTCAGACACATATCATCAGCCTTACTTGGTCTGGTAGGGGAGTGGTTCCAACAGGCCCTCAACACTTAAAGACGGCCTCCGTTTCAGCCTGCAGCTCAGAGTTYGGACCCTCTACACTGAAACTGAGCAGACCTGCCGGACAGTACCGGTCATTGGCTAGACGAGTTGTTTAACGAGCGCTCGCCGCTCATGCCCAGGTCTCCAGATACCAGAGTAGAGATTAGTCCTACTAAGTCTCGTGCAGGTTTGGCAGCAAGGCCCTATCCTTCATCCACAGAGTTCTATGACCTAGGACAGAAGAGACTCAATGCAGCAAGAATAGACAGACAGACTGTACTCAGCAAGTACCAAGGGGTATGTGCACA